AAGAGAGATGGTTTGTTGCTTCGGATAGAATCTGTGTAATTCTCTCTGTTCTCCCTTGACGCATGACGATTGTAGATTTGGTAGGCCAGGTGTGGAATTCTATGGACAGCACACCATCGAAAGTGGAGAGAATGCTGTCACGAAGATCATTGCTCTACCCAATGAGGTGAGTGTCACTAATCAGGTATCTCTATACTTTTTATTGTTGTTTTACGCTGAAACCTTTTGTAGAAAAGCGTTGAACGTTGATCTTTCGCCTGGTTGCTATTGTTACAAGTTCAGTGTTTTCTTAAAAGCTGAACGAAAAAAAGAAAAGTAGGTTTCAAGTACGGAGTTTTAATGTTCAGGTGTGCACGCGATAGCAGGTAATCTTCTATCTACATTGTAATCAAATGGATCAGACGGAGGTGTGAAGCTAATAGCTGTGTTTTAAAAGAAATCACGCTTATTGTACCGATAACGTGTGACACCGTGTTCTCCTTATATGGATCGTTGTTACATACTTGGATTTCATAATTGTGTGCCCATAAAGGTCGACAATGTGTATATGTTTGCATCGTGCACGCTTGCCTTATTTCCTTCCTTTTACGAACTTCGTCAGCTCTGATTCAATTCCTATTAACAACAACAGTTTTTCAGTTGCAATATATTACCTGCTTCATGGTAAATTTACTCGATATGATCGTGAACGAATAATTGCAATTATATTATATCACGTGTGAAATGTACGATTGGAAGAAACATATGAAATAGGCGTGGTCGGCGGATTACTCCTTATCGCGATCATTTTTCAAACGAGTCCTTATAATACTGATAAGATATAGCGGTCGTACGATTGCAATCACTTCTTCGAAGCACGTAGTATCGTATCCTGAGTTTCTTCCTGAAACAATCACATCAATCATTATGTAATAACTAAATTCATTGAAATTCAATACCAATACTGTTACATTCATTTAATAACACAATGATGATTATCACGTTTACCACAAGGACTATCGATTTGCTTTCAAACTTGATTAAAAAAAAATATATAAAAAAAAGTGACTTTCTATCACCATAAACGACTTTCAAGTAGTTAATATCCATATAAAGTGAGTGTAAAGTATAGAACAATCTCTGAGCTTTTGCAGAGGCGATTAAAGTACATAATATTTGTAGTAAAGAAATTAATGTGCATGGTGCGAGAAAAAGATATAGTAATGCAATAAAGAACACTTGAACTTCTATTAATATACTATATATATAATAATATACCATATACTATATATAATAATATATATATAATATGTATTATTATTAATATATAATAAATTACTATTAATATATAATATATAATATATATATAATATATATAATATATTTATATGTTCATATACTTCTATTAATATATAAATTCTTATTAATAAATATATTATATATATTTTATAAATAATATATATAATGTATATATAATGTATATTATGTATATTAATATATATAATGTATATTATGTATATAAATATATATAATGTATATTATGTATATAAATAATATATATAATGTACATTATGTATATTAATAATATATAATGTATATATAATGTACATTAGTAATATATAATGTATATATAATGTACATTATGTATATTAATAATATATAATGTATACATAATGTATATTATATATAATGTATATATAATATATATTGTGTATATTAATAATATATATAATGTATATTATATATATAATATATATAATATATTTATATATTAATATACTTCTATTAATATATAAATTCATTGAAAATCGCTCGAACAAAACTATATCGTTATAAATGTATGTAAAATTTCGATAGAAAATTATAAATTATGGTTTTGACCATTTTGGCAGGGTTAATCAGTGTTAATTATATGCGGGAAGAGCGACGTTCCGCTCGGAGAGAACACGTTGAAAGTACCACGTTGGATTACCGTGAAAGTATAAAAAGCGCTTTTTAACTTCGCGTTTTCCCTCGAGTTTTCACTTCGCCTGCTACGAAGGAGTCATCGTCTTCGTATCCGGCGGAAAAAATAGGACACCGAATTTGTCCCGTGAGAAACAATGATGACGAGATTATGAAAACTTGCGTGTACAATACTGGTTGTTCTGCTTATCTACATTATTACATAAAGCCGTTGGGAAATCTCGACGAGTTTTACGCTCGTATAAATGGAAATGGGGTAAAATGAAAAAGTAAACGCGAGAAACCAACGCGTTGAACACGGTGAACCAACCGTTCGTTCATTGTAATAATAACTAGTCTCAATCCGAACGTGTCCGATTTGGTGATAAATAATTGTTACGAATGCTGCAGGGTCGCGTGGTTTCACTCTGCGACGACAACTCTCTTCACTTGTGGGAAATCAACGAGAGTTCGCTCGTGGAGACCAAGTCGCTGTCGTTGGAAGGTAAATTGAAGAAGATTTCGGCGATGTGCCTCGAGTCGAGCGGCGAGCATCTCCTCCTGGGCACGGAGGGCGGGAATATCTATCTCCTCAACTTGAAAACGTTCGTGATGCCTGACAACATCATTTACCAGGACGTGGTGATGCAAAAGTAAGAAGCGTGACATTCAAAATGTTATTAGGAGTATTTTATATTTTAAAATTCGCACGCGATGTTCAGTTGACATTGGAGTGAGCCTAAATTCCACGTATGTTACGACAGCGTGCCAGACGACTACAAGAAGAATCCAGGAGCGGTCGAGGCGATAGCGGAACAACCAGGTCACCCGGACAATATTCTGATAGGTTACAATCGTGGTTTGATGGTTTTGTGGAACAAAGCGACTCCAGGAGCCCAACAGGTAAGGCTTCGTATTGTCGTTTCTCTTTATAGAAACACGCGCCTGTGTGTGCAAGGCTGCATCGTGGCAGACGTAATGACACGCTTTTATAGAAGAATCCCAATACACTTGCTTGATCGAATTGTGGGGCAATGCTTAATTCATCGGTACTTCAACTCAGATCCTTAGATACCTTTTAACTATCCTTGAAAGCTTGGAATTCAAAATGGCACCGATGAGTTACGTACGTGTTTTGCGGCATGGTACCGCTCGTTCTCTGATTGTTGTTTGTGTCTTTGGTGGTTTTGGCGAACGTGTACGTGCAGCTGATGGGTTTGTTTTCGCGTGCGCAGACATTCGTCTCCACGCAACAGCTGGAATCGGTCCACTGGATCTCTGAAACCCGTTTTGTCTCCTCCCACAACGATGGATCCTATGCATTTTGGAGTCCAGGCAGTGACAGCATGCTGGAGTCGACCACACCCTACGGGCCATTTCCCTGCAAAGCTATCACGAAAATTCTCGTCTATTCGACTGCAGAGTGAGTACAGATATAGTTGTTCCCTCTGTAATTGCGTTTGGATTGTACACAACTGTCTGGATTGGTAATATGCTTCTAAATACTTTATAGACTCGGAGAGCTCGTTTTATTTTCCGGTGGGATGCAACGTGCGAGTTACGGCGATCGTTACACGATCACCGTCATGGCCAAGGGGAAGCACGTTGTTTTCGATTTCACGTCAAAAGTGATCGATTTCTTCACTGTGTTTTCTAAACCAGAGGATGGAAAAGATTCGTCGGATAATCCAGAAGCGCTTGTGGTATTGGCCGAAGAAGAGATAGTAGCCATTGACTTGAATAATCCTGAATGGAAGATGATGGCACTGCCTTATCTAGTATCTCTCCATGCGAGTGCGGTAACTATTATTCAAATTACAATATATCATACATTGTGTGTACGTACCATTTCTTTTTATTGTGTTTGTAATATCCTTATTTGCAGGTCACTTGTTCGCAACACGTACCGAACGTTCCTGACGAATTGTGGGAAAATATTATTGCAGCTGGCAAGGCACAAACGGAACATCTATACTCGGACAAAGCATGGCCTATAGATGGTGGAATTATCCTTAATCAGAAATCGAGAAACGACAAACCAAAAGAACTGTTACTGACCGGTCACGAAGATGGAACCGTCAGATTCTGGAACGCGTCTGACGTTGCTCTGACACCTCTCTACAAGTATAACTCGTCTATCTTATTTGTCGGCGAACACTTGGACGTTCTTGAACAACCACCGGAGGATGACGAAGACGAATGGCCTCCATTTAGGAAAGTTGGAACTTTCGATCCCTACTCGGATGACCCGAGATTGGCTGTAAAGAAAGTTTCTCTTTGTCCATTAACATCGAGGCTAGTTGTTGCTGGCACAGCTGGCCATGTAATTACAGCCGTTATGTCAACAGAACCGATCAACAAACAGATCAAAGCCGTTACAATGAACATTGTAAATGATCGCGATGGATTTGTTTGGAAAGGTCATGATCATCTTCCTGCAAGGACAACCAACATATCTTTCGCAGTTGGTTTCCAACCGCAAAATCTTCTTCAATTATATCCACCAGCTGCGGTCACAGCATTGGCTGTGCACAGTGAATGGGGCCTGCTTGCAGCAGGTACGGCACATGGTTTAGCCGTTTTCGATTATACAAGGGCAAAAGCTGTTAGCGTGAAATGTACACTCAACCCGAATGGTATTTATATATATATATTTTTAAAAATGTTTGTTTAAAAAAAATAGGATGAAAATCATAAAAAACGTGTAAAGCGTTAATTATTTGTTAATTATTTTTCAATTTGTTATGCCATTTTAGATCTTTCCGGAGCAGGCGACACGCCGATCAGTAGAAGAAAGTCGTTTAAGAAATCATTGAGAGAATCCTTTAGAAGATTAAGAAAAGGAAGATCGCAACGTCGAACAAATGCCACTAGTCCAACCAGAACTACGACGTTAGAAAAGAAAAAAGAAACGTGAATATCTTTTAAGATTGTTAAATTATTATCAAATTATTAATATATTAAATAATGATTGGTTTCTAATTCCAAAGGTCCAGTATCGCTTCCTCTCCGAGTGGTGACCTTTCACCTGTGGAATTGAAGCCTGTGGAGAGACAGGTAGAAGCAAGACCTGTAGACGATGTATTGGGGTCAATGGTTCGATGTTTATATTTTGCTAGGAGTTATATTATAAGCAGTAAGTCTGGCTAATACATCTTTGCTACGATATATAAATATCTTATTAACACGTTCTATTTTATTTTTCAGTGCAAAATACTACACCTACGCTTTGGGCAGGTACAAATAACGGTACGGTTTATGTTTTCACATTAGCAATTCCTGCTGGTACCAGAAGAACAGAAGAGGATGTAAATTGTACATTAGGAAAAGAGATTCAATTAAAGCACAGAGCACCTGTAATTGCAATTGCAATTCTCGATGGGTCTAGCGTACCATTGCCAGAGCCATTTGAAGCCGAGAAAGGCGTAAGTCCAGAGCCCGACGTCGCTTCTCCACACAGAGTTATAATTGCTAGCGAGGAACAATTCAAAATCTTTAATCTTCCATCCTTGAAACCGTACTGTAAATACAAACTTACCGCACATGAGGGTTCACGAGTAAGAAAAACGGGTTTTGCAAAATTTGTGTGCTCACTGGAATCCATGGGAACCCATGAGGAAACCTGTTTATTATGCCTGACTAATCTTGGTGACTGTTTAGTTCTCAGTATTCCTGAATTAAGAAGGCAGCTCAACGCCGCTGCCATTAAGAAGGAAGACATCAAGTGAGTACATCTCTTTTGTTATTTTGAAGCTTAAATTTTCACGCTCAATTATTATTATCCTATACTGTTTTCCTAGTGGGATTTCTTCGTTGACGTTCACGAAAGCTGGTGAGGCATTATATCTGTATTCAAGTTCAGAACTGCAACGAATTTCATTGTCGGCTAATAAAGTGACAAAAGCACACTGTGCGCTAAACTTACCACCAAACGCTAGATTATCTTCTGAAGTAAACAACGGTGAAACTCAGGAGCAAGGTGTAGTCGAAGGTACGGCAGAAACGGAAGGTGAGACTACACAGGGAAGTCAATCGATTACGGCACAAAGGATGATTACAGAGAATGCGGTGGGTTCTAGTGAGTATACTGTGATACCTTTACAAATCTTTTCAATTCGTACTTAACATATACCAGATGATCATTAAGTTACATGTATTATCTACCATAGGATATTTAAGTGAGCTATTACTAAATAATGCGTAATCGCTTGGCATGTTTCAAGTAACCCGTGTATATATTTAAATGTTGCTTTGCTGTAATTACTTGTGATTTATCAAAAGAGCTAGCTGCCAAGTTGTATTTTGACGCCGAACGTCATCAGAAAACGCTATCTCCTAACCCTTTAGTACCGATTTTTGAATACATCTATTTTAGCCGGTGCCGAAGAATCTCCTGCAACAAGTACCAATAATGTAAACGGAGAAGATGATCGTCAGGATTTAAGTTCTATTGGAGATATAACAATCGATAGCGTGAAGGATCATCTACTGTAAGTGAATGTGTTTGTACATCATTCCATAGCTTTTTATTGTTTTATTTCACATGCTTCTTTGCTTATCTATTGACAATTAATTCTAATAAAAACAATTTTAAAAATTTCAAGGAAAGATAGACTTAGTTTGACAAGTTCGCTTTAATTTTATGTTTGTTTTGCTGTGCTAATCGTTATGATTTCACACACGTTTGCCACTTGTTTGGCAGTAACAGTTCACTTTTCAGAAATGCGACGTCTTCCGAAGAACTTCATAATCGTCTTGCGGGACTTAAAATGGAGGTGACCTCACGAACTTCGGAAATTTCTACTCAAAATCAATCTCTCGTTGTAAAGACCACAACCGTTGTTTCACAAACAACCAACAATACCACCGTTAACGGGGAGATCGAAACAAGTCAGACAAACGAAACACAGTAAACGAACAGTGAGTGAATTCAAATCAGTGTGAATTAAAAATTAATCGAGTGACCAATAATACGTTATATTAATTTGGTTTTTAACAATTCATCGAATTCTTTTTAAATATATTTTTGAAAAGAATATTTTTTAGGTCATCTAATCTTATAATATTTGAAGACTGTAAATAATCATATTCTTAATAATTTCATATATTATATAATATATCGATTGCTTGATTTATTTATTTTACGTTTGTCTTTTATTGCTTTGTAATTTTTGTCCTTTATATCTACGATATTATGTGTATTTTCTTTGTTATTGTATTGTTTTGTGCTATTTGTTCTTGAGCAGGCACTATGGTAGAAAGAGAAATAGATAGCGGTACTGCGAGACTACAGTGACACATGCTATCGTTATTCTATTCGCAAATGTCAGCAAACGATACTGAATGTATTGCAATAATTGGTGTCGGATCTTATCTCGATATTAACATATTCGCTACCACAGACAATTCAAGCAAAATATACATTTTGGATCACATTTTATCTCTTGTACTTTTGTACAATATATTTTATAATTATATTTTTATTACAAACAATAATGATAAATCTAAGATTTATTCATTTTTTTAACTAATTGTAAGCATCAGTGATCAGACCTAAGTATCAGACTTAAACTTGAAAGTAATATTATTAGGGACATGTGTCTCCAGTTTATGGGATCTAGATGGGTTGGAAAAATTTCGGAATCTCAATATGAATATCAAAATTACACGTATAAAATCTGAAATAAATCGTATAATACTTTAGGAGTTATTACAACGTTTGAAATAAAGATCTATTTTATGATAGTGTCATAAAAATATTCTCATTTATTTTGTAACTTAGAATTAAATCTGTAACTTAGTCTTCTGGTATACATAACGCTGGTAGCGAAAATGTTAAAAGCTCAGAAGCAAAAATGATAATCACTTTTGAATTTTTTTGTATTTCTCAGAAATAGCGTAAACACGCTGCAGAGAAATTACTTTCATTTTACTAACGTAAAGAAAAAAATCAGTCGCTGTTGATATTTTCTAATAATTTCAATTTAGTTTTTATAAAAATCAGACAAATTATAGAACAGCGTTTCCATGTATATTAAACACGGAATTTATATATATTAAACTACATTTGAACAATACTACAGATTCAGTGATATGCTATTATTCTGTCGTGACACATATAACTAATGCTTAGCATATTGTATGCTTTTAATCTACTAATACCAGATTACAAATTGAATACTTGATTTATTCGTCTTGAAACTGTAGGTTTATTTCATAAATAGTATTTAATTTACATATTAACAATTCTTTTTGCATAATTATTATAAGGCTTTGTCTAACTACATAGTTCCTGCAGAATATGATTAAGATAAAATACATAACATTTATTATATTGCAGATTAGAGAACTGATTTGTTAAACTTGGAAATAACGACAACTATAGTGAATACTGAAAAGTCGAAAGCTCCATTGACCACTGAAGAAGTTGGTTTGTAGGAGGAATACTTCAAATTTCTTTATGCTCTATTCCCCGACTTGATGTTTTGTACGCAGAACCACACAATAATTAGATTCTTTGTTACTTAATGGATCCACTTGTATATAGCCTTGATAAATAGAATTTATATCGTGGATTTTTTAAAAATCTAGATCTATACGCGGCATTAACTTATTAGCTATAAACAATAAGTGAGTGAACTTCGACAAATCAATTAAGATATACATATGTACTATATAGATACTAACTGCCAGAATTTTACATTTTAATCGATTATTCTCAGTATTCTCATTTCTTTTAACAATCAATTTTGTAATTGTGAAAAATTTATTGTAAATTTACCAAAACTAGGCCTAGTAATTTTAATAAGATGCATTTTATTTACAAACAGATTAAATTTTAAGAAAAAAGATAAAAATATTTCATGTTCTTTCACTTGTAAATCAATCTATTAAATTTTTATTGAGTATAATTTTAATAAATGTTTCATTGATATACATTTTTAAGAAAAAAAATTGAAAAAAGATTGTATGATTCTTTTCGTAACATGTAAGTAGACATAATTTAAAAACTATAATTTGTACAAAGAAGCAAGCTATTCTAATGCAACAAATATATTGTACTACGTCATATTTTGAAATAATAAAATTATTCTCATTGTAGGAAAAGTTATAGAAAAGCGGGAGAAACTTAAAATGCAATCATTGATTTAAAATGACCACGTGTACTTTTTCTTGATGTTCGTTAATTTTTTTTTTTTTTTTTTTTTTTTT